CTTGGAAACATGGTCACATTCCTTCTCACAATTATTTCAATTCCCTTTGTCTTCGCAACCCCGTTCTCCTTTGTGTTGTGCAGGATCAGTTTCAAGCACAATCGACGCCGAGGACGGCTTTTCGTCAAGAAGGGGAGGATGATGAGGATATGACACCCATGCATATGACCATGTTTGGCACATGGTATGGAGGGGTAGGAGACCAGCAAGGGTGTCCAAGTCAAGAAGGAGGCCCGAGGCTAATTCGGTTCGAGTCCCCGAGGTGGAGGCCCAAAGCAACTCTAATTCGAGTCTGCCTCGGCCTACAGGACTAGTCTGCCTTAAACTATTCACCCAGGACGCATCCGTACTCCGTTTTGATGATCCACATATGGTTGGAAAGATAATTTGATAAGGAAGCCAATCCAAATGGTCTCATGTCAAAAGCTCTTCAAAATCTATGGGAATTGTCGAAACAAGTCAGCGTCTAGAATCTGTCCAGGTGCTGCGTCACCGTATTTGGTCCAATGGGCCGCGTATCGTCTTTGAGCCCGTTAGAGGGGCGCGTCCAGGGTAGGCGACGACCCTAAGACCTTTATAATCATACGCCGCCGCGTCATTAGGTTTTGGGTTTTGCTTAGATTATTCTATCAAGAACAGTTTCACCGTTCATCGGTTTGTGAGACCCCAACTTCGTGAGATTAATCATTCATCTGCAATTTGGTTGCTTTCTTTCTTGTTCTTGCTTGTGTTCTTCATTGCGCAGGTAGGGATTAGCCTTCTTGGCGAGGTCAACTGGATCCATGTCTCAGTTGATAACCAGAGGAGCTGTGGTGCTAAGATTGCAGGGTTCGATCTTTCGATCTGAAGCCGGATCGGTGTGTCATTCTCCGCCACAACGATAATTACCACCACCTGACAGAAGATCGGGATCCCTGTCCCCATTAAAGTAGCTTATCAGTTGAAATTGCCTGAGAGCTTGTTAGGTGTACATGATGTGTTTCATGTGTCTCAACTAAATAAGTGTTTGCGTATACCTGAGGAGCAGATACCGTTAGAAGAGCTTACAGTTAAGGAAGATCTTACGTATGAGGAATTTCTGGTAAAGATTTTGGAGATGGCAGAAAGAGTTACAAGGAGCCGAGTTATAAAGATGTGTAAAGTTCAGTGGAATCGGTATACAGAAGATGAGACTACTTGGGAAAGAGAAGAGGATTTGAGGAAAACATATCCATAGCTTTTTGAGTAAGCATCATCTGAATCTTAGGGATAAGATTCATTTTAAGGGAGGTAGAATTGTAACACCCTAAAATTTGCACAGTTTTAAAATCAGAGAAATGATTTAATTATGTTTTTTGTGAGCATTTAAATTTAGGAAAATAATAACTTTGTTAAAAATAAAATCAAATAAAGGTCTACATACATGTATGTGCATACATGTTGCTGCATATTTTATTTGTGATGTTTTGGTTTGAATGGAATTTGCAAAAGGATTTGAATTTGGTTGGCATTTGGAGTTGAAAATAGAATTGGAAAAAAACAAAACAAGGAATTCTTCCTCTCCTTCTCCATTTTTGGCCTGTTGGACTAGTTCCCGCCAGCCTAGCTCCGCCCACGTGCCTAGCTATGCCCGTGCTGCTCCCTCTCCCGCTCTTGGGCTGCCCCGCTTTCCTAGCTTCCTCGCGCGGCCCAGCAAAGAAAGCCGACGGCCCGCACGCCGCGCCGCCCTCCTCCTTTCCCCTTCTCTCTCGCTGACATCTTGGGCCCACACGTTAGGGCTTTCTTCCTTGCGGGTGTCCACCCCAGACTCCGCCGCGCCGCTGAGGCCGCGCCACTCATGTCTCCTCATTGTCGTGCCGCCCAAGCCGAATCGCCCTTAAATAGCAAGCCACAGGTGCTACGCCGCCCCATCCTAAGACCCTAGTCACGTGACGCCGCCGCTTCGTTCTCCGCCGTCGTTGTTCTTTCGTCACCACCTCCCTGAGCTTCGGAACCTGGTAAGAAGTACGTCGGTTCCTCTCTTGATCTCTCCCTCCTTTCCTCTTGCGCAATCACGCTCACCGGAGCAACGCTGTCCTTGCCGAGCCACCGTCGCGAGCCTCTCGCTGCCTCTGTGCCTTCACGGTCATCCTGAAGGCCCCCATCGAGTTAGCAAGCTCGAGCTACGCACCCCGGTGCTTTTCCCGAGCTGTTTCGTGGTCTCTAGGGCCCTAGCCGTGCGCGTCGGTGAGGTGCTCACCGCCGATCATGGCCTCCACCACGTCGGCTTCACTATTTTAGCCGGCGCATCTCATCCAACCGTTCCTAGTCATCCGATATGGATCGGACGATCTCAAATAAAAGATACCCTTTCGCTAGTCATTTTGCAAAAAGGCCCTTATAATTATTTGGATCTCAACCCGCCGTCCCTGCATTTTTTCAAAAGAGCCCCTGTATTTCTTTGTTTTCATGCCCGTAGTCCCTGTTTCGGTTTAAAATCAGATTTTAATTATTTTAAATTCAAAAATTAAGTTTCATCTATTTACAAGACTGCCACTACCTTCTGAAGGTCATAAAATCTTTGTTTTAACTCCGATTTGATCCGTTCAACTTGCGTTAGGTTCATAATTCCATAATCTACATGTTCATACTACTGTTAAGTATGTTTTCAACTTTTAAAATTTAAGGTTAGATTTAATCTGTTATTTTACTAAAGGAAATCTTGTTTAATTCATAACTTCTTCGTTTTAGCTCCAATTTTTGTGATCTTTGCGTCTGTGTGTTCGTAGCGAGACATAGATTCGTTTTACAAAATTTTCTTCTTGATTTTATGCTGATTGGTGTACTGTTCTAATCTATAGTTTTGTTTGCTATGCATGATTGCTTCTAGATGTTTGTATGCTGCTGTGATTATCGAGTATAGACGGTGAGCAATTCGTGGATGATCAAGAGTACTACTTTGACGAGCAGGATCAGCATGAGCACTTTATTCAAGGCAAGTATAGCATGGGATCATCCTTGTTTCCTATTCACCTTAATACATATAATTCATGTTGCATGTGTCACCTTGATAGGGATTCCCTAGAATTGAACTTATACCTTGTCTTCTACAGGATATGCATTGGGTAACTTTTCTAGTGCTCAATTAAATCATGATCTTGTAACTTCACTAATGGTATATGCAATAAACATTAAAATATGACTTTTTAGTAACTTGAAAACAGGGGGCTGGAGTATTTAGCTACTTTCTAAATGTTTCAGATTCCTCTCCTTAATGACTTATCTGTAAGTGATTATTCGGGACTTACAGTACAGCTGTGAGGGCTATATGGCTCTGGTTTTAGCTCAGTACAATGACTTTTTCTAGCTTGTTAGAGGTTACCTTTATGGCGTAAGAGGGGTGTGTTTTAGGTTGGATATAGTGCGGCCTTTGTCCGTTAGTGTATAGGCTGCGCGTCATTGTCCCTGTCAGAAGGGGAGCCCTACATTCATAGGGCACAGAAACCTAGTGGCCCTAACTTATTAGACAAACCTTTGAAAGGCTTCATAGTGACCCATGTCTGCTCACCTTGAAAGTGTTTTGGGAGTTATAAATCCGGTTATATGGGTATCACGACTCACAGTGAAAGTGTACAACCTCTGCAGAGTGTAAAACTGGTATATCAGTCGTGCTCGCGGTCACGAGCGGCCTTGGAACCCTTATGGAATAGACGATCACTAAGAATTATCTGTTTATGCTATTCATTATTCATGTTTACTTTGATCATGTGTTTTACTTTGGTATTGAAACAACTTGTTGCTGCTCTTAATTGTGACAAGTAAAAGCTGAACGTTGATAAACCTGTGTCAAGCCTTTTGAGCCTCATGAACCCTATGTTACACTTGTTGAGTACGACATGTACTTACGCTCGTCTATTTTCATTATTTGGATAAAAATCCCGGATGGGTAACAGATGGCTATGGTAATGACGGTTTTCCTGAGGTTTGCTAGACTTGTGGTCAACCAGTTGATGTCCCTGTGATATGGAGCTTCCGCGATAGATTTTTCTTTATACTTCCGCTATATTTATGTGAAGACTAAGTTTTATTATTCGTGATGTAATAAACACTTGTGATGATACTATTTATAATTTGTCAGCTTATGTGTGTGACTGATCTCTGGACGCACATAAGATTATGCATGTCATTTTATCCTTAAAATTGCGTGTGACAGCTATTTGTTACCTTGCTTCAAATTGGAAATCATTGTCCTAGTTTTTAGATTGTGTAATAACAATTAATGATTATTTAATTGTTGGAATAAAAATTTGTTGAAGCAAAACAAAAATCTATGATGGCGAAAAAAGTTCTACCCCTTGAAAGAATCATGTGATGCTAGTTCATATGGAATAATAACAATTTATAAATAAAGGGAGGAAAAAGTATATACAGTGAGAACAAAGGATGCTATTTCGGTGATGATTAGCATGCTTTATTCGATTCGGACGAGTACAACATGGGCTCAACATGCCAAACCAACGAGCGGCGAAAGAGGCCGACGTTCATTGATTGAGCTGAGCACGGGGAGGGAGACATTGGCCCAAAAGTAACCCATCTAACAGGCTTGGCCAACCGGCTTTGCTGATAAGCTCACACGAGGCCCATGTTAATTTCAGCCCAAGTGAAACACACACATTCCTTGATTCCTATATAAGCCAACCCGCTTACAGGCCCGAACGGCGACTGATTTCCCTGCCCTGCTGCCAACGGAAACGAGGGAATCCAAAGCCAGGAACTGCTGTCGCTTCTGGCACCGAGGCAGCAACAAACCAGAGGAAGGCAAGAACTCGTGCTTGTATTCTTCCCTTCCCTTCCCTCGATTGCTGATCGGTGCCTTCATCTTTCTTGGATGTGAATCCATTCCCACGGAAACGGAATGCCACAAGCCGTTCGCCTTTCTTGGTTCCTTGCGCGCGCTGCGGAGTGCAGACAGAGTTCTTGCTTCTTGCTTCTTGCTTCTTGCTTCTGTCGCCGTGTTCTGTGCAGGTAACCCGTTCGACGAAATGGCTCCGGAAGACGCAGCGGCGCGGGGGAGGACGTCCGGAGGCGGTGACCCTGGCGGCGGCGACCACCTCAGCGGCCTCCGGGACGAGGTCCTCCTCCGGGTCTTGTCGCACCTCAAGGCGTGGGAGGCGGTGCGCACCTGCGTGCTCTCGCAACGGTGGCGTGACCTGTGGACCTACACGGGGCACCTCGACATCCGCCAGCCGTGCCTCTGCCGCCGCTGCGGCAGCGCCGGCGGCCCTCTCCGCCTACCTGCGCAGGGCGCGCGACAAGGCATTCAACTCGTTCGTCAGGAAACTGCTCCTCCTGCGGCGGCCGCGGGAGCCGCTGATCTCGTTCCGGCTCTGCTGGACTCACGAGACCCGCGACGGCCGACGGCGACACCAACACCTGGATCTCCCACGCCGTCCGCCACAAGGCGGAGGAAATCGAGCTCTCCGCCAAGCGTCACAAGGGGTACCCGACGCCGGAGTACATGAGCTTCATTGTTGATGGCGAAGACCTTCGAAAACATGGTGTTGCTGGCGAAGCCTCCGTCAAGACTGGCCTCAAGATCTTGAAGCTTACCCATCTCAGTCTGGATGACACCACCCTCAGTCCCTCATGCAGCTCTGTTCAAGGTGCACTTCTCTGGAAGAGATTGAGATTGAGCTCAACGACTGTCTCATACCCCAGGCCACAGAGATAGGGTCCAAGTTGCTCAAGCGTTGACCGTGATCAAGTGCAAAATTCCTAAGGGAATCCTCTCTGTTTATGCACCAAAACTTGTCTCGCTGCAGTTGAGCAGCAACTTTGGCTATGTTCCGTGGATCCAGAACTTGGGGTTGCTAGCAGCATCCAATGTAAACCAACGGGTAACGCATAAGTACCCTGACTGCTCTGGCCTCGGTTCTTGCAACCTTGAGATCTTGAAGCTCTCTCGTGTCAAGCTGAATGACACCACCCTCGCGCAGCTCTGTTCTAGGTGCACTTCTTTGGAAAAGCTAGAGCTCAAGGATTGTTCGGTGGTCGGCAAGGAGATTTGATCCCCCTCACTGAGGTGCTTGACTATGGTCAGCTGTGAGTTCGCTATTGAATCAGTGGTTCATGCTCCGAACCTTGTCTCGTTATGCTGCACCAGACCATTTCGACATGTTCCTCAGTTCCAGAACATGAAATTTCTAGTCACAGCGAGTATCACACTTGATGACTCTTGCATGTCTAGTGATAGTCAATGGACATTGGAGGATGATGACAAAGATGAATTCGATGATGATGGTGACTTTTTTGCACATTTTAGGGTTAAGGACTCTGATGATAACAGTGATAGTGAATCAGATCAGGACGAAGAAGATGAGTCTGACCATGATGGTGCACATTCTGGTGCTGATGGATCAGATGATAATAGTGAATATGAATCCACTCAGGACGAAGAAGATGAGTCTGACTATGATGGTGCACATTCTGGTGCTGAGGGATCAGATGATAATAGTGAATGTGAATCCACTCCGGACAAAGAAGATGAGTCTGACCATGATGGTACACATGTTGGCGCTGAAGATTCTGATGGTAATCACGGTTGTTCTGGACCTGGTGATGACGAAGATAGCCATACTGTGGGCAATGAAGAGATTCCAGAGGAGTACAACAATGATTGTGGACGAATGTTTGGGGGGGTTGGTATCCTTTTCAGCCTCTCAAAAGTTAGAACAATGGACCTATTTGCCCATTCAGGAGAGGTACAGCTTAATCGTCTCCTGCTCTATGCATTGCTACATGCTGGATAATATTTTTTTTCTCAATACTTGTCAAATGTCAACATTTGTGGTTATGCATAAATGAGCCAATTTAATAATTAGATGTACAAGAAATTCTGGTTGTTTAGACCAGTGGTTAAATTTGGACAATGCACTTTTGTGTACTATGTGCAGGTGCTGCTCGTGAGGGAATCGAAAACGTGTACTGACTTCAAAAACCTGAAGACTCTCTCCCTTGGTGAATGGTGTATAACTCCTGACCTTGATGTATTAGCAGACATGCTTCAGCGCTCACCGAACTTAGAGAACCTTTCTGTTCACCTCGACATGGTGCGTATAAAACTATAAATTCACAAGCCCAATGAATGTTTGTTCAGAGTTTTAGGCACATGCTCAATCCCTAAATTAAGTCTGTTGTTTTGCATTAGGCCAACAAGGTCAGAGTGGGCTTCAAGCCAAGGGCAAGTTCATTTGCATGCACTAACCTGAAGAAGGTGGAGATCACATGTTGTAAGCATGATATTGTTTGCAAATTGATAGAGTTCTTCGATGTGAATAGCATACCACGTGAGAAGATTTCCTTCCATTGGACTGCCAGCAATTGTGTTGTCGGGAGAGGTACAGTTTCGCAGGCAAAGGGCAAGGCACAAACTGAAGCTGAGAAGATACCAGCAAAGCAGAATAAGGCAGGGAAGTGAGGAAGCCCCAGCTGATGAGGGTACGCTGATGTGATACCACAATGGTGTTGGTGAAGACAGTGAGTTGGGCCCAGCTTGCTGCTTGCTTAGTTTAGATTTTATTCTGAATGGAAGAATGTGGCAGAAGTGTGATGCATTTTCCTGTGGTACATCAACATTTCAGTGTAGTTATGAGTGTACATGTGTCCTTTGGCTTGTATTGAAAGGGTTCATATAAAATTCAGATGTACAGCGATTTAGAACTAAAGCTCCAGACGTCCTCTGCTGAGGAGCAATGCTTACTGAATATATCTGGCCATGGAATTCACCTGGGTTTCTGCGTACTGTCATGATTGTTTCTCATTGTGTTTATATTTCTACTTGACAGTAGTCATTAATTTTGATTCACTCTCCCCCTTTTTAAAAATTTATGTTTCTGAATTTCTGATGCAGCCCCAAACAGAAAAAATGAAAATGAATCCTTTCAAAAGTACTTTAAAAGGGCGTACCCAGTGCAGAGAGCTCCCGCTCTGTGCGGGGTCTGGGGAAGAGTGTTAGTGGCAAGCCTTACCCTCGCCTGTGCAATGCGAGGAGATCGTGACTCGAACCCGGGACCTTCCGATCACAGGCGGTAAGACTCTACCACTTACACCAGGCCCGTCCTTCTCAAGAGTACTTTGTGCTGTTAAATTATTTATTTACCCTTTAACAGTAAAAAAGAACAATTGTGGCAATGCCACTGATGGTGAGGGGGTGACACCTACCCACTCTGGCGCCTGGCGGAGTGACACAGGTCCTCCTGCGGCCAGCCACCATTGCAGGTTTGCAGCCTTATACGTCAGCTCCAAGCCCGGTTGTTTCCTCTTTCCTACATCAAGTCAAGGCTCCCTGAACCAAACCAAGCCCGTCTCTTGCCATTCCTTCTTTCTCCCTCCGGCACCCAAATGGGCACTTTTTCAAGTAATTATAGGTCTTGCCGTATATTCATGACAGCTTCACTGCATATGATTGACATTTTTTCAGGTAACTGTATAATCTAAATGGCTACTGTTGTGAGAAAGGGAAATATACAGTAAAACAAGTCCATCTTTCCATTTTTTTCCCTCTCCCTTTATTATACAGTGCTGATATATGGAGTCGACAACCCTTTCGAACTGCAAGCCTTATCAACGCCAATGTAAGTGCATCTGTTGTAAAAAAAATTCATGATCAGTTAGTTAGTGAGTTCACCTATGTGGTCCCTGAAACAATCCTTGTTTAAGTCAAGCTCTAAAGTACCAGTTTGGGGTGTGCAGTTGTTCATTTTTTTTAATCCCTCACTTAAAGGTTATATATATCTTGACTTGATTTCTGCTTGTGTAGTGGAGTTTTGTTGCTAGATACTTGGAGTGAGGAGACCTAGCCCTGTCAGTGAGCAGAGGCCTATTTCTACTGCCAGATTTTATTCAGTCATGTGGTGCTTCAGCTTGGTGTTTAAGGTCCTGGTAAGTAATAAGAAGACACTACTAGAAAAGAGGAGGTAATAGTAATTAAGGAGGTATATTATGGAATTAATACAAGACAGGTAACACGTGCTGTAGATATATAGAGGTTAATATATGTGGAGGCTATATAAGACGATCTTTGAGGGGCAACCCGTTCTCCCATTTTGCCGTTAGTTAGTTTCCCTTCCCTCCCTTCCCCAGCGGGAACGAGAGGCGAAGCCTCTGCTGCTGCCGGCACCGAGACAGCAAGAACCCGCCCGTCACCGGTCCGGCGAGTCCCCTCCAGGCCTCCATCTCTTGTTCTGGTCAGTTCTTCTTTCCTCCCCTCCATTACTGATTCGTGCGACACTCTCTTGCGGGCTCATGTTGTTGATGGAACGCCGTCCATGGTTTCTTGCCCGCTGCACAGTTCTTGATTCCGAGGTGTTCATGCCGGCCGCTGTGTCCGTGCAGGCAACCCGTTCGACAGAATGCTCCCGGAAGACGCGGCAGCGCAGGGGACGCCCGGAGGCGGTGGCGCCGCCGGCGACCGCCTCAGTCGTCTACCGGACAAGATCCTCCTCCGGGTCATGTCGCACCTCAAGGCGTGGGAGGCGGTGCGCACGTGCGTGCTCTCCCAGAGGTGGCGCCACCTGTGGGCCTCCATGAACCGCCTCGACATCCGCAAGCCGTGCCCCTGCGTCGACGACGGCGACATCAGCGCCGACCATCCCCGGACGACGGCGTTCGCCAAATTCGTCAAGAACCTACTGCACCGGCGGCGGCAACTGGCGCCGCTGGACTCGCTCCGCCTCTGCTGGAGCCACGAGGCCCTCGACGGGGAGGCCAACTCCTGGATCGCCTACGCCGTCAGGCACGGCGCGGAGGAGATCGAGCTCTCCGGGGAGCATCACGTCGTGTACCCGTCGCCAGAGTACACGAGCTTCGTTATTACTGACGACGACTTCATCAAGACTCGCCTCAAGATCTTAAAGCTTATCCATGTCCGGCTGGATGACACCACCCTCACGCAGCTCAGCTCTAGGTGCACTTGTTTGGAAGAGATAGAGCTCAAGGACTGTCAAATACCCGAGGCCGCCAAGATTCGGACCACCAAGCTGAAGCGTTTGGCCATGATCAAGTGCAAAATCCCCAACGGCTGCTTGGTTTATGCTCCCAACCTTGTTTCGCTCTGTTGCAGCAGGCCTTTTGGGTATGTTCCTTGGATCGAAAACTTGGGAGCACCTAGTACGTATAGTCAATATCATCATGCACCGGACACCAGATGAGTACCCTAAATACACGGACCCTGTTTCCTGCAACCTCAAGATCTTGCAGCTCTCTCATGTCCATCTGGATGACACCACCCTCAGGCAGCTCTGTTCTAGGTGTACTTCTTTGGAAGGACTAGAGCTCAAGGATTGTTCGGTAGAGGGCAGGGAGATTGGATCCATCTCGCTCAAGTATTTGACTACGATCAGCTGCAAATTCGCTATTGGGTTCAGGGTTCATGCTCCAAACCTTGTCTTGCTGCACTGCATCAAGCCTTTTCAACACTTCCCTCAGATCCAGAAAATGGAATTCCTAGTCACAGCAGCTATAGTTCTTGATGACTCTTGCTTACTTTCTGATTGTCAATGGCCACAGGAGGAGGATGAGTCAGATGATAACAGCAACAATGAATCTGATGGTGACTCTGGTGATAGCAAACACAACGAATCTGATGGTAGTAGTATCTACTATGATTCTGATCGCGATCGGTCCGCACCAAGTGATGAAGAGGACGATGACTGTACTCTGAGTTATAGTGTGATTGCAGTGGACAGATACAGAGAATCCAAGTATTTGATTAATGGCCATAAACGCAGAGGAGATGAACATGAACCTGTGAAAAGTTGTGATGAAGAGTATGGGACCAAGATTTCTAGTGACTTTGGTGGTATTGGTATGCTTTGGAGCCTCTCACATGTTAAAACAATGGACCTGTTAGCTCATCCAGGAGAGGTACACTTCAGTCACCTTGCTGATACTAGTACCTTTTAGTTTTTATATGCTTTTGTGCACTGTAGACATTTCTTTTCTCAACACTTTGCAAAGTGATGGCTATTCATGGGAAAGAGCTTGCTAGTCTCGTTGGCACCTGCCCAATTGATTGCAAAACTTTCATGTAATGTAATTTAAGTTAGGTTTATTTGGGACGTGTTAGCTTCCATCCTTCAACGGTAATATATGGATTACTTGGGGATGTGGTAACCAGTCAAACTCTTTTTTTGCTTAATGAAATACGTGTCACAAGGACACGCTCTCGAAAAAAAAGAGAGTAATAGATCATTTTCTTGATAAATTTATGTAGAATAAAATTTAAATGTTTAAATCGACTGTTAAATGATTAGATCAATATTCTGAAGTTCAGAAATTTAAAACAATGGTAATATTTGCAGGTCTAAAATAACGTATTGGTCTCCATTCAATCAGAATACTTTCAGTGGGTCCCTATCGTACTTTTATGATGGAAATGTCATAAAGTTCTTCACTAAAAATTCAGGGGCTGTGGGATATGGGCCGTTCATGTGAACAAATTTAGCTACAGGAAAAAGCTTTTTGTCTTTAATAATTCCTTCTACTGTTTTTAGTATCACCCACGTATTTAATTGCTAGTATGTTTCCTATGTAATAGTGCAATTTTTGAATGTCAGAAAAAGTTTCAATCACTACCATTGTTACTGGACTTTGATCCTAACTTATAGTCCCCTAGAATTAGGATTTAATTAATATTTTCTATGGAAATTGTTTGTTTGGATTTGGCCAGAATATGTTTTTTTTCATTTTCTTGATATAGCATGGCCAGCATATTTGTTACTTCAGCATTTTAAGGGCAAACTGTCTTAAACACTGCAGAATGGCTTGAGGTAGAACAAAAATATAATAACTTGCGACCTTCCATATCAAGAGAATTATAGGTTGTCATTATGGAATGTTCATTTCTAATTCATTTGCGAACCTAGTGCTAAAAGGGATATAACTTCCACCACATAGTGTTGGTCCGTTATGATTATTGATTACAATGCTGTGCTTTTTCAATTATCCTATGTTGAAGTATTATAATGTTGTAGTTCATTCAGCTAAGGGTTATGGTTGAAAAGCACATTGATGACAATTATTTCTAATACAAAATGTGCAGGTGCTGCTTACAAGGGAATTGAAATCTAGCACTGAATTCAAAAACCTGAAGATTCTGTCCCTTGGTGAATGGTGTATAACTCCTGGCTTTGATGAGTTAGCATCCATACTTGGGCACTCACCAAACTTAGAGAAGTTTTTTCTTCACCTTGACATGGTGTGTATAAATTCACATAAATGTTATTATTTTGTGCATGGTCACTGCAACACTGCCTAAACCTTGTTATTATTTTGCTTTGCATAGGCATATAACAAAAGATTGGGATTCATTCGAAGTACAAGCTCATTCGTGTGCACTAAGCTGAAGATGGTGAAGATCACATGCTGTAAGCGTGATGTGATGGTCCATAGATTGGCAGAATTCTTCGGTGAGAATAGCATACCACATGAGATGATTTTTGTCCATCGGACTGCCTGCTCTGGATGTCAGGGAAGGAAGGCTCCAGGTGAAGCGCAAGGTGCAAAGCTTTAGCTGAAAAGAGATAAGCAAAGAAGATGAATGCAGGAAACTGAGGAAGCCCCACATGATGAGGTTTTCGTTGATATCAAAACTGTAATTGTGTTGGTGAAGTACACTATGAGTTGGGGCAGCTTTGTAGCTGCCAGTGAGTTGCATGGTTTAGATTGTATTCTGAACACAAAAGGTAGCCGTACTTGCTAGGCATTAATCCTTTGGTTCATTAACTTCTCAGTATAGGTTTGACTGTACATGTGTTCACTAGGTTGTGTGGAAAAGGTTGACTGAAAACTCAGAATGTATAGAGACCAAGAACAGCAGCTCCTGATGTCATCTGCTGAGGAGTGATACGTACACATGGAGAAATTCATATTGAATAAATCTGGTCTCCGAATAAGGCCTAACATTTTTGCATAAAGTTGTTGATGGTAGTCGTGTCTATGTGTGATGATTGAGGCTCTGAGGCACATGGTGAATGCTGTTTTTTCACTTTGTGCTGGCAGTTCTCATTCCTTCTTTCTTCACACACTCTCTCCTATGTAAAGATTTATGATCAATTTTAGGGATATGTCGTGACTTTCTGATGCAATCCCAAGCATAGAAACAAATTCTTTTGTGAACACTTTGTGACACAATATTATTATTATTACTCTCCCTCTCTCTCTCTCTCTCTCTCTCTCTCTCTCTATATATATATATATATATATATAGACACACACACACACACACAGATGAAAGAGAAGAGAGGTGGGCTGTAATTATATAGCCATCTGATGCAAAGAAAGTGAAGCATGTATTAATGATGAAATATATCCTACTGCTAGCCAACTACAATATGTGTAGCGTGATAGATGAGCTATAAATATGCCTAGTTGTAAATTGTATTATTAGTTATGTAGTGTTATTCCGAACCATCGAAATTTCTATCCATTTCAGAACGGAAATTCTAACACGCGACCCCTCGCTCTGGAGCGCGACCCGTCGCACGCGCCCGCTCGCACGCAGCGCCTCCCCACGCTCCCACGCCCTCCTCCCTAACGCAGCACCTCCCTCCCTCCGCGAGCTCCTCGGCGACCGTGTGCCCGCTCCGAAGACGACAACGACGATGGAGACGAAGTCGGCAGCGACAGCGGCTCCGACGAGGTAGGCCGGTTCCTCCTCCCCTTGGATCTGAGCCCACCGGAGACAAAGATGACGGTGGCGGTGGCTAGGGTTCTGGCGAGCTTCTCCCCCTCTTTCTTCTCCAATTTTGGCGGCTATAGAAGGGGCCGTCTGGGAGGAGGCAAGCAAGCCAGGCTGCTTAGGGGCCCTAGTGATGGTAGTGGCGGCCGGACCAGGTCGGGTGGGGCAGTTTTGTCGGAGTTGGAGAAGACGGCAGCAGCCGAGCTCACCAAAGTTGGAGAAGATGACGGCGGTGGGGGAGGGGGAGGGAAAGAAGGCGCGGCTGCCACGGGCGCTAGGGTTGGGCACTAGGGTTCACCGAAGCTCCGATGAACCCTAGCGCCCGCGGCGGGGCGGTGTAGGCTGCGGGGTGACGACGATCATGAACGGAGGGGGGCACGGTCGAGGACAAGGCGAGAAGAGGAAGGGCGCGTGGCGGGAGGTTGAAGATGGGTCACGTACTCCTTCAGTGCATGACACATCACGCAATAACTGTGTCCTTTTAGAACTATCACGTGCTCCCTCAGCGTGTGCTCCCTCATAGCGTGATCCGTCTCGTGATAATTGTGTCCTTTTAGAACTGTCATGTGCTCCCTCAGCGCGTAACCCCTCACGCGATAACTGTGTCCTTTTAGAACTATCGCGTGCTCCCTCAGCGCATGACCCGTCACACAATAACTGTGTCCTTTTAGAACTAATAAGGATACATTGCAACCTGGCGGGGCAACCCCAGATTCTAAACAAAAACCTCCGACCTATTTTTTATCCAACATAACATTTGGATTTGATGTTAGTATTTTCATATTTTTTTTATTTAGGGTTTAGGGTTTAGGATTTAGGGTTTATAGAGGTGGGCTATAATTATATAGCCATCTGATCCAAAGAAAGTGAAGCATGTATTAATGATGAAATATGTCCTACTGCTAGCCAACTACTATATGTGTAGTGTGATAGATGAGCTATAAATATAGCCAGTTGTAGATTGTATTATTAGTCATGTAGTGTTATTCCGAACCATCAAAATTTCTATCCATTTCAGAACAGAAATTCTAACACGCGACCCCTCGCGCTGGAGTGCGACTGCGCAACCCGTCGCACGTGCCCTCTCTCACGCAGCACCTCCCCACGCTCCCACACCCTCCTCCCTGACGTGGCTCCTCCCTCCCTCCGCGAGCTCCTCGACGACCGTGCGCCCGCTCCCGAAGACGACAACGACGGTGGAGACGAAGTTAGCAGCAGCGGCGGCTCCGACGAGGTAGGCCGGTTCCTCCTCCTCCTGGATCTGAGCCCACCGGAGACAAAAGATGACGGCGGCGATGGCTAGGGTTCCGGCGAGCTTCTCCCCCTCTTTCTTCTCCAACTCCGGCGGCTATAGAAGGGTCCGTCTGGGGGGAGGCAAGCAGGCTAGGCGGTTTAGAGGCCCTAGCGGTGGTAGCGGCGACCGGACCAGGTCGGGCGAGGGAGTTTCGTCGGAGTTGGAGAAGACGCCAACAGCCGAGCTCGTCGGAGTTGGAGAAGATGGCGGCAGTGGGGGAGGGGGAGGGGAAGAAGGCGGCTGCCACGGCCACTAGGGTTCGCCGGAGCTCCAATGAACCCTAGAGCCCACGACGCGGCGGTGGTAGGCTACGGGGTGTGAGGACGATCAGGAACGGGGGGAGGCGGGGTCGAGGACGAGGCACGGAGGGAGGAGCGCGGCGGGAGGTTGAAGACGGGTCACGTACTCCTTCAGTGCGTGACCCGTCACGAGATAAATGTGCCCTTTTAGAACGGTCGCGGGCTCCCTCAGCGCGTGACCCGTCGCGCGATAACTGTCCTTTTAGAACTGTCGCGTGCTCCCTAAGTGCATGCTCCCTCAGAGCGTGACCCGTCGTGCGATAACTGTGTCCTTTTAGAACTGTCACGTGCTCCCTCAGCGTGTAACCCGTCACGCTATAACTGTGTCCTTTTAAAACTGTCGCGTGCTCCCTCAGCGCATAACCCAGTACGCGATAACCGTGTCCTTTTAGAACTAACAAGGAGACATTGCAACCTGGCAGGGCAACCCCAGATTCTAAACAAAAACCTCGGACCTATTTTTTTATCCAACACAACTTTTGGATTTCATGTTAGTATTTTTAGATTTTTTTTATCAAGACGATTCTCGATTTAATGTGTCAATTGTCTTCATTTTATTAGTCTAACAAATAAACATCACAGACTTCTATTTAATTTGGCGTAATTTTATTTTATTTTTTATTTAATTTAATAACTAAGGAATTGGCGCGATTTTTATTTTGTAGAGGAAAGAGTCGGGTCAACCGCTTGTAATGGCACCGGCTTCGTGGGCCATAGATGGGCCGTGCAGCGTGGGCTGAAGAAAACCGCATTAAAAATCAGACCAAACCCCCAGTCTCCTGTCTCTTCCCCATTTCGAGCCTCACTGACTCTCAATCCTCATTTCTTCACGGAACCCAATGATCGGCGGAACTGCCCTTACCGCCGTCACTCGCCGCCGTCGCCTGCTGTGAAAGATCAAGGATTCGCCGCCGTCGCAGCCGATCTTCTCGTAAGTGTTCCCTCCCTTCTCCCCTCCGGACAGCCCCTGCAAGAATCCGCCCCGAAGCTCTGATTTGTGCCTGGTGATCTCGTCCTTCTCAGAAGTGCAGGCTACCTGTACTCTTCGACGAGATGCCTCCGAAGGTCGCCAAGCGGTGGGTGCCGGTCAACCGGCCGGGGGAAGCCTCGTCGTCCTCACGCGGACACTCGGGAGGAGGAGGAGGAGGTGGGAGAGTCAACCCCGCCGCCGACCGCCTCAGCGCGCTGCCCGACGCGCTCCTCCACCACGTCATGTCGTTCATGAAGGCGTGGGACGCGGCGCGCACGTGCGTGCTCTCGCGCCGGTGGCGCGACCTCTGGGCCTCCGCGCCCTGCGTGGATGTCCGTGTCGGGAGGTATAGGGACCCGCCCCAGGACTTCGCCAAGTTCGTGTACCGGCTGCTGCTTGCTAGGGAGGCCCTTGCGCCGATAGACACTCTCCGCCTGCGGTCACCCGGTGAGGACGACGAAGATTTCGACAATTCTGATGTTAAGATGTGGATCCGCCATGCAATCAGACGGAATGCTCGTGTTATTCAGCTAACCGGTCACCCCAACCCCAATTTGTTGGCGGAGCTGGATCCTATGGACTTCGTCTCTCGCCACCTCAAAATCTTGAAACTGAACTATACTGAAGTGTCTGATAGCTTCACCAGGCAGCTGTCATCTCGTTGCCCTTGTTTGGAGGAACTAGAGCTCAAGAACTGCTTGGTAGAGGGCCGTGAGTTTACATCTGTCTCTCTGAAGAGGTTGACCATGGTCAAATGCACTTTTGCTAACTTCTTCTCTGTTGATGCTCCAAACCTTGTGTTTGTGCAGTGCATCGCGCCAGAGTCTTGGGTCCCTGTGTTCAAGAACTTTGGGGTGCTGGTAACAGGTAGTGTCATGCTTGATGACTCTTTATTGAGTAAGGAGTTTAAAAAGTACCAAGAGGACGCTGATGAATATCCTCGAACAAGTGACGACGATGATGACAACAACATTGCATTTGCCCCTAAATATGTTCCTGATTCTGATGACAGTGGTGATGAAATCCTCAGTGATGATTCTGGATTCTTAGATGATTTTTATGATGAGCATTATTTAGCAGATGATGTCAAGGACAATTATGATTATGGAAGTGATATCAATAGTGATAGTGACACGTATGAGTACAGTGAGATTGCAAATGGCTATGAAGATAAGCAGTTTGGAAACCGTGCCAATAGACTTGATCGCACTAGGGGCAATAAAGATCATGGTTGCAGTGCAAAGCATATCATTAATGATTATAAAAAATTTGGTGGCCAGAATGTTCTCAATAGCCTTTCAAATGTTCGATACCTGGAGCTGTTAGGTCATTCTGGAGAGGTAGTTACATTCTATAATTCCGTTGTTTAATTTTTTCATAATTCCTTAATTCTTTTGTCCAGTGTATTTATTATACAGTGTCTCTTGTTCTGTTGAATACATTATGAATTTGAGGGTGTCTTAGTAATCATTCAACATTTTCCTTTCCATATCATTGCTGATTTTAGGGGTGGATCCAGCTTTTTATACTATCATTGAATTCACAACACTGAAATGGTTAGTGCACCAAACATCAGATGCTTCCAAGTTTCTAACCCTCCTAAATTGTTGCAAGTTGGAACATCAATCACCAAATCAAAATTGATCACAAAAAAAATCACTAAATCAAAATTTATGATTTTCTCATAGGGGGTGTGTTTTATCAGTTCAATGTGAGCTGTCTATTTTTATGCTATTGTACTGCATGTTTGCTTTACATATTTTTTACCAGAATAGTGTAAATTAATTTCCTTTTCACTGTCTTCAGTTCTTGGCCCTTAGCCTACAATAATAAAAATTAGAGTTAATCTTTCAGGCCAATAGAGCACTTATAAATACCTCTTTTTTCAAATTAAGTCAATCAGCTAACTGCAGAGAAAAAACTAAGCATGTTATATATGATGGAAATATTATCTCTTTTGAAGCGAATTTGGTGTTTATTTTGCTATATAGATTTTCTTTCATTCTATCCTATAAACTCACATCTGTTTCAGAACATTTGGACATGTAGTTTCATTCACCAGGTAAAAAACTACACTTTCCAAATGTAATTTTGTTAGCCATAAAAAATGGTGGATGATAATTCCTATCTGAAGAGTTTTGTGCCTTTCCAGTTGGGTTATTATTATTCATTGTTGTTATAGTTTGTTGTAAACAACTCACTCCTGTTTAAATATGAAGGTCATTATGAGGAGAGAATCGTTAAATTGTCCAACTTTTAGCAACCTGAAGACTTTGGCCCTTGGAGAATGGTGTATCAGTACAGCTGTTGATTTTGACATATTACTTCTCTTGCTTCGGCATTCACCTATTCTGGAGAAGCTTTATCTTCAGCTTGAAATGGTACGTACATGCTCGGTGTTTCTCAATGCTGACTCAAAATTTTAGCAGATGATTAATGAAGTTGATTTTTTTTGTTTGTCCTTCAAAAAGAACTGTGACATCCAGAAGGCATTGAGAAGAGGTATAGAGCCAAAGGGAGGATCATTTGCTTGCAAACATCTTAGTATGGTGAAGATCAGATGCACCAAGGACGATCCAAGAGTCCATATGTTGGCATGAGTTGTTTAGGTCTAATGGCCTGCCACTAGAGAAGATTTATGTCCGTCGGAGTGGGAGTTTCTGTGAGTACCTTGTGTGATTGTGTCCGTATGTTTTGGTCTGTGCACTATTGTTGTTTTTCACTCTTTTGTCATACAACACATCATTGAAGTTTCTGTTGCAATAGGATTTCTTTTTCTGGCCACTCATGTTTTGTTATCCTATATCCTGAACCTTTTTCTGTTCATGTTAATCTTTGCATTCACTAACTTTCTGTTGTTTTGTGCAGACCTCCGTAACTTGAAGCTGGAGAGGAGCATTACCCTCGATGAACTGCGTGAATATGAATCTTGATCCCATTCCTATTGAAAGCAGAAATGTGCGATATGACAAATTTGTACTCTTTTTTCAGTACCTTGTAGACCTGTTTCAGCTCTAGTTGATGATTGGAACATCATTTATGCAGAGAAATTGCAGGACATGTAGCTATATAATGCATGGTTGTTTCGCACATCTCTATCAAGTTGTCTTGTCAGTTGGTATCGTTTGAAGAACAAAATTCAGATTGGAGTACCTGGGGTTTATAAGCTGTGGTTTAGTGCCTTGGGTTAATCGTCAGCACTGTTTTCTTTTAACACAACGTGGGTTTAGTACCATGTGGTTCAGTTTCAAGTTTCTACTGTGTATGGTAGGGGCATTTATGTTGCATCTATGTTCAACATATTATCTAATCTCTAACACCAACTTTAGTAGAGCCTCTACTTGAGCCCCCAAAGAGGTAAAAAAAAAACGTGCTCCAACAGGGTCTCTGCTAGAGCCGCGAAATTTAGGTGGGCACCCAAATCCACCCTCCACACCCCATTGGGCTTACCCCTAGGCCCCATCTTGCATTGCTTCCCACTCGCAGGAACTCCCTCCGCTTCGAAGACCCTCCTTGCCCTCCCCTCTCCTCCCACTCGGACGCCAGACTTGATCGCTGCCCCTCCGGCGAGATTCATCGCCATAGATTTCGTCGAGTGGCCCACGGGAATGCGGCAGAATCCCTCCTTTGGTCCTGTCTCGAGCCCTTGGTGTCCGCGCCAAGGCCTCCATCTCGAGAGCGGCCATGGCTCCCCGCCGCTCAACCTCTCCTCATCGCCCGGCCATGCCTCGCTGCCGTGCCTAGTCCCTCCTCGCCACTCCCAGGCTCGAGTGTGCCCACTGGTGTCCCGCTCCATGGGGAAGAAAGGTTTGGCCCAATGATGACTGGGACCCCATGTCATTGTTTGCTAATATGGATTTGGGGGCCTTTGTTTGGGGGTTGATGCTACGGTGGAAGCAAAATATTATGCCAACAAAAGTAGGGGAGCACTCAAATCCAAAGTAGGAGCTGAAATCTATAGTGATGGTGCGGTGGAGTGGAGACTGATGCTAATGGTTCCATCCATTGACCATAATGCTGGATTCTTGTTAGGGTTCCATATCCCCATGACTAGTGATCATAATTCAGTGTTACTGATTCTTGCTAGGATCTCATACTCCCATGACCTTTTTTTTAATTTGGCCCCTTTTGTCAAAAAATCACGTTTACACCCCTGAATATCAAAATTCCGTCTTTAGACCCTGTGGGTCGGCGCTGTGACATGTGGCGCTAAGGTAACATAGCCATAAATCATGGCACCGAGCTTTGAGACCTTGATAGCGTGCTCCATAAATCATGGCACCGAGCTTTGAGACCTTGATAGCGTGCTCCATAAATCATGGCTCCGAGCTTCGAGACCTTGATAGCGTGGATGTTCGACGTGGTGTCTACGTGGCTGAGCTCGGAGCCGTGGGTGGTGACGCCGACCTCGACGCCGTGAAGCCCGGCGCCAACCTTGGTGCCTTGTGTCACGCTGACCTGCTAGCCTTTTCTCCTAGCATACGTGAATGTGTGCTCTGCGAGTGACTGATAGATAAAAGACACAACAATGCTCTGGAGGTGCATGCATGGCCACTTGCGATACTAGCCAGCTAGAAGTCTACATCGTAGCCTTAGGAGGATTAGTTTCAATGTCCCTTCACCATATGTTCGCGCCTCTAGTGCTGCAGTCTGCAGTAGAAAAAGAAGGCAGGGGTGTTTGTTTTGTGGATTAAACTTGTCCCTATCACATCGAATATTTGATACTAATTAGGAGTATTAAATATAGATTAATTATAAAACAAATTACACAGATGGAGGCCAATTGGCGAGACGAATCTATTAAACCTAATTAGTCCATGATTTGATAATGTGGTACTATATTATCAAATCATGGACTAATTAGGTTTAATAGATTCGTCTCGCAAATTAGTCTCCATCTATATAATTAGTTCATGTTTAGTTCTCCTAATTAGCATCCAAACATCCTATGTGACATGTAACTAGTACTAGCTCTGTCCCCCAAAAAATACAACTATAAGGTGCGTGCTAATTAAAGTGGTTCACAGTTGACCAAATTTCAAGTGAATGATATCCACATTTATGGCTAAATCAATTTATTATGAAAATACATTTCGTAATCAATTCAATGATATTTATTTAATACCATAAATATTAATATTTTTTATTTATAATTGATCAAATTTAAGATAATAAAACGTTATACTGCACTATATTTACTTGCTTTTGAAGATAACATATATTTATTTGCTTATTAATATGATTAGCCATGTTAAAATTAATTAAAATTAAGATTTATATTGTGAACAACTAGTGTGCCTCTAAATTCAGAACGGAGGGAGTATTAGTCTAAACTTGTCTCTTAATGACGGATCTAGCTAATAATTGCCCTGTTAAGCTAATGGTACGATAAGCCAAGAAATTTGAAAAAGTACCGCTTTATTTGATTTGTTGTGAGAAAAAAATATTGTTCGTTATTGAAAAAGTACGGCTTATAAGCCAAGTTTAACAGGACATATCGCTCAAAATATGTTTTTATGGTACAACACACGTTGGAATTTGAATTATTATGATATTAAATTTTTTTCAGTTGCAACACAGGTAGGTTTTTTTTTCAAGTTGCAACACAGGGCCAAGGTCAAAATATTAGTCTGCGCTTTTTTAATTGTAGTTTTCAATAGTTATCATTCAACGTTTAAAAGTTGATACACATGTATCAAGATTCAAACTTAAAAGGCTGATAGAACCATCTAAATTTATTTGGTTCTATCGGTTTTAAGAGTAGCACAGCCTGTGGCTTTAGGCGATTCAGTGCAACAATTTTGATGACAAAAACAAACTATAATGCAGAGGAGACCAATCTCTATTATTTCCTCGGGTTACAAAACATGCACTAACCAATGTAATTTTAATATTATTAATGATATATAAATCTTAATTTTAACATGGTTAATCATATTAATAAGCAAATAAATATATGTTATTTTTAAAATCAAGTAAATATAACGCACGCAGATTGGAGGCATTTTGGATTTTAGCAGTGACACATCACATCGCTACGGCAAAGACAGACACGTGTGCAAGCCTAGGCCATAGGCCACGGCAGGCCCCCAGGTCACTGGCCTACTAAAGTTCCTAATATAGCTAAAGGGGTAAACAGTCTAATAAAATCACTAGAGCATAAGGTTAGTAACCTAAAAGGTGAAAAATAATTTTGCTCTAACTCTACAAGGGTTGGAAGCCACCTACCTAATAATTCTAGTTGCTATGATCACTAGACACACAAGAGGCTAAGTCACTACTCACTGAGAGCTTTCAAACAAGCTACACTAAAGAGCTCCACTAGGTGAAACTAAGCTAG